GGGCCAATAAAAAAACAGTAATCAAAATAAAGTAGGATTTTTATGTGTTATAAGAGTAGTCTCAGGATTTGGTCTAGGTAAATAAAGTGGTTGCTACATACCTATCTAGCCAATGTACTCTTCTTCCTGATCTTGTTGTAGTTTGTGCTGCTGCTGAACTTTGATTTGAAGTGTTGCTTGTTGCAGGTAGTTTGAATGGTGTTTGCTCTGCTGCAGGTTTAGACGGTTTTACAGTTGTCTGTTTTTCAGTGTTCTCTAAAAATGCTGGTTTTACTCTGTCGATGCTAACTGTATCATGTTTACCTGCTCTTTCCACAGTAACCGTTTTAGTGTCCTTTCGGATGATTTTAAAAGGGCCGTCGTAAGGAGTCTGTAACGGCTGTCGTACTCGATCATTTCTGACGAATACATGTGAGCATTTGTCTAGTTCATTGGGAACGAATGATTTCACCTTTTGGGTTCGTGGTTTAACGGACCTAATGGATTCCATCTGCTGTTTTAATTGTTGTACGTTGTTGGTTATATCTGCTGGAATATCTGTTGCACGGTCAAAAAATTCACCAGGCAAACGTAATGTTGTTCCATAAACCAACTCAGCAGCACAACAACCGAGGTCTTGTTTGATGGTTGAGCGAATGCCTAATAGTATCAAAGGAAGCTTGATATCCCATTTGTAATCTCCTCGTGCGGCCGTCAAAGAGGCTTTTAACTGTCTATGGAGTCTTTCTATCATTCCATTAGCAGACGGATGATAAGCAGTGGTTCTAATTCTCTTTATACCGAAAGTATCTGTAAGTTGATGAAATAGTTTGCTTTCGAATTGCGTTCCACGGTCGGTCGTAATTGTTGTAGGGACACCGAAGTTTGTAACCCAGTGTTTCACCAGCTTCTTCGCCACTGTTGATGCTGACGTGTCTTTTAACGGAACAGCTATGGGCCATCTCGTAAATCTATCTATACATGTTAGTATATGCGTGTAACCATTAGAAATTGGTAACGGTCCAACAATGTCGATATGAATATGGTCGAACCTAGCGCTAGCGGCGGGAAAAATTCCGGTAGGAGATATGATGTGCCTATGTACTTTTGACTTTTGGCAGTGAACGCATTCCCGTGACCATTTTCGTACGTCTGTGTTTATTTTTGGCCATACAAATCTATCTGTGACAAGCTTTACAGTGGCTTTTATACCTGGATGAGATATATTGTGTAATTTCTCAAAAATATTTCGTCTCATACCGAAAGGTACAAAAGGGCGAGTTTTACCTGTTGAGGTATCACAAGTTGAGGTGTCCTTGTTGTTTATGGGGATGTTTTGGAATAATAATTTCGTTTCCTTAGACTGCAAAAGCTTTTGTAGCTCCGTATCGAGCTTTTGATGCTTTGCCATTTCTTGATAGTCTATATCAGGGATCGAGAAGGTATTGATATTTAATCTCGATAGTGCATCTGCTGCCTCATTTGCATTGCCTTTAATATAGCGTATATCAGCTGCAAATTGTGAAATGAATTCTAGTTGACGAATTTCGCGCGGACTATATTTATCATGATTGTGCATCAAGGACTTAGTTAGAGGTTTGTGATCAGTATATATCGTGAAAGAATTGCCTTCTAACATGTAGCGAAAGTGTTTGACGGCTAAGTAGATAGCCAACAGTTCTCTACCGAATGTGCTATATTTTGTTTGCGTTGCGTTTAGCTTTTTTGAGAAAAATGCAAGGGGTTGCCATTGTTCATTGACACGTTGCTGAAGTACAGCACCTACTGCTACGTTAGAAGCGTCGGTCATTATTGCTAAAGGTGCATCAACCTTTCGTCGTGCGAGTAATGCCTCTGTGCTTAAAGCGCTTTTCAACTGATCAAATGCTTGAATTGCTTGCGGTGTCATTGCTAATGATTTAGCTCGTCCCCTTAATAAATCAGTTAGTGGTTTTGCTAAGTCTGCACATTTAGGGATAAAACGTCTGTAAAAGTTGATCATCCCAAGGAAACGTCGTAGTTTCTTGAATGAATCAGGCAAAGGATAATTTTTGATAGCTTGTGTTTCCTCAGGAACTGGTTTAATGCCTTGCTTATCAAGTACGTGACCTAAAAAGGTGAGGGATTGTTTTCCGAACTCACATTTGTCAGGATTGACTGCTAACCCATACTCATTTAGCTTCTCAAAAAGCATCTTCAAATGAGTTAGATGTTCATTTTCATCTTTGCTTGCTATAAGTAGGTCATCTATGTAAGCATACACAAACGGTAAGCCCCGTACCACTTGGTCAATAAAACGCTGGAAACTTTGTGCAGCATTCTTTAATCCGAAAGGCATACGGACGAATTCGTATAGTCCAAAGGGGGTAGTAATGGCTGTTTTAGGAACATCGTCTGGATGAATTGGAATGTGATGGTAAGCACGGACGAGATCAATTTTTGAAAAGATCGACACGTCAGATAGGCTATGAGTGAAGTCATGCAGATGTGGGAGAGGATATCTATCTGGTATGGTCCGGCTGTTGAGAGCTCTATAGTCACCGCACGGTCTAACTTCGGAAGAGTTTTTCTTAGGTACCATATGGAGCGGTGATGCCCACGGACTATCGGAGGGGCGTATGATGCCCAACTCAATCATTTTGTTGAATTCGTTCTTTGCGATAGCCAGACGAGAGGGAGCAGGGCGTCTTGGACGTGCGAACACTGGTGGACCCTCTGTCTTTATGTGGTGTACGACGGTATGCGTCGGTTTGTCGTGTTTGAAACTCGGTCGTAATAAATCTGGAAACTGATTAAGTAAATTAACGTATTTGTCGTTCTCATGATGAGGTTTAACTAATAAATGTATGGAAGTCTCATTTGATATAATCCCTCTAATTTCCTTACTCTGTTCGGCAAGGACAAGTTCCCTATTTCTGATGTCTACCAGTATTTTGTGGAATTGCAGAAAATCAATGCCGATTATAGGAACGAGGACGTCCACTATGATGAAACTCCAGGAAAAATTAGATTTAGGACCGAAATTTAATTGCAACCGCCTTTTGCCGTACGTCTTGATGTCAGACCTGTTTGCAGCTTGTAGTTTTAGTTTGGGGTCAGGTGTGTTTTTCCCGAGTGCAGTAGGTGGTACTACACTAACCTCTGCCCCAGTGTCGACTAAAAACTGTGTGCCGGTTCTTTTGTCTGTAACATATAATAGACGACTGTCTTGAAAGTTGTGGTCCGTGAGTGCAGTCGTCATTAACCTACGGTCTTGACGTCCCTTTTTCTGTGTGCTTGCAAAGTTACAAGGCGGAGTACATTTTCTAGCTTGTTTGCCATATGTTCTATGGTACCAACAAATGTTGTGTCTAGTAGTGCTTGGACTACGTCGTCTACGGCTTGTGGATGTTCCTCTACGCTTGCTGTGGGAGGCATTCAATAATTGGATCTGAGCTATCTGTTTCGTAAGGGTATCAACTGATCGTCGTAACTCGGCGATCTCGTCAGCTGAGCTTGATTGGATTTGAGATACAAGGTGAGTCTTGGACCGTTCGTAAATTCTGTCGGCTATGTCTGCTAGTCTATCAAAATCAACGTCTTCGTCTCCAATTGCTAGTACCTGTTGAATGTTTTGAGGGAGACGTCTGAGCCACAATTGATATAGTAGACGTTTGTCTACTGTACGATTTCCTAATAAGTTTGTCATGTGGCGTTCTAACTGTGACGGTGTATTGTCACCTAGCTCCACGTTGGCTAAAAGTTGATCAATTGTCTGTTGGTCGGTGAGAGATGTGACACGAATGACCTCTCTTTTTAGACAATCGAATGGTGAGTCAGGATCCGGCTTAAAAATGACATCCGGCACTTGTTCAATGACGTCATCTGGCAGCAGTGAATTTGCATAACTAAATTTCGTACTCTGGTTTGTGATTTTGTTTGCTACAAAAAAGCTTTCTAAGCGAGCAAACCAGAGTTCAGCCTTTCGTGGATTAAAAATGGGTAAAGGTACAGAGATGGCACCCATGGAAATAGATTTAGATGAAAGGCTTAGCGAATTATCAAGTGCCATGATACGAAGAAGCAATAGTAATAATAAGCCGAGGATTGTAATATACAATATGAAGAGAAATCCAAAATAACAACAAGAAATATATATAAGACTCACCAAAAAGAAAAACTGTCACTTTTGGTTTAAATATGCGAATATACAGCAATAATTCCAAAGGAACAATGTTATGGATGGATTTATTATGACTGTTAATGAATTGTTAATAATTGTAATAGTAATTCCAATGTGAAGTTCTTTAAGATACGCTTGGAGAGTATGCAGCAGAATTCGTAGAGGAATGGTGTGTGTTCTAAAAGCGGTTCACCAAAATGTTGAGGATGATGTCCTCAATATCTGACTCTAAATAATAATATCCTGTAACTGAGTATTTTAGGTAGGCTTAATCTCCTAGTAGAATTGCGAATTTACTCGAGATTATTAAAAAGCCTGAACACCAGTTATAGAGATAGTTTATTGATAATGAATAATAATAATCCACAAGCGTACGGTGAGCAAGCACACGATGAAACAGAGAGAGTTTGTGAGTCTGTTAAAAAATCCATATATATTTGAGAGTTAATCGGGTGTGGATAGATTATCGATTACCTGAACATTGAGACCAATAGGAAGATAGCTTAAGCGTTAATGTACAGACATACTGTCGATCATACACACCGAAATTAACATAGTGAATTGAGTCTGAGTTACAATGACTAGATAAATGATACAGTAGTCAAATGGGCTTGCCACAAGGTAAAAGTAAATCTCCCTTCATCACTACCATCACTATCACACCTTTAGTCATATTCAAGAAATTCATTTATGTGTAAATTTAAACAGACTTTTTTAAGCTATGATAATACTTCATCAGTAAGCAAATTCATTGTATCTTTACGTACAATTATATGTCCTATTGGTAAAGAAAATTCATCATAAACATGTCATTTTTCATTCTTTTCATTTGTTACTATTGATTTTTATTTTACTTAAGGCTACTGCTGGATATGATCGAAATATTCGAATATGGGTCCTACGACAATGTTATCGATATTTCAAAGAAATGCAACGAAGTTCTAGTAAGCCATATTGTTGCTCATTCTTTCATCAACTAATTTTATCGTCTAGACTTATTATTAGAATTTCCGGAGGTCTTTTAAATCAAATTGATTATAAATGTTACTATATTTAATTCATTTGGCTCTCATAACTAGCGTCATTAGTAAGTATTTTACTCTTCCTTTAAAAATAAATTGACTCTATCAGTTTATCAGTGAAAGTTGTCAAAACATTAGGTTAATTTTAGCAAGTGATAACAGCGATTCAAATGATAGTGAACATAGCAAGCGTAAAGTTTGTTTTACCAAAATTTCGGATAAAATTACAGATCTAAAAGTGAGTATTGTCATGTTTACTTCAAGTGGTTATAGTGATCTTAAAGACTTCCGGTGAAATATTGATTATATGATTGATTACCTGGACACTGTGGCTGATAGTAAATAATTTTATACCATACATTCATGACTTGAATGTATATAAGCCTACAAATTTCTCGAAAGGTGATCTAGTTAGTGGATATTATCATATTCTAGTTGGGCCGAAAGATGTTCTTAAAATGAAAATCACAATTCGGTTTTATGTTTCTTCGATTTGGACTCGGGCTCATTAATGCCTCACGCTAACATTTCAAAGACTGTGTGGCCAAGTAATACTTGGATTAACATTCTGATATCCTTATGTTAATGATATATTAGTCGTGAGAACTTCAGGAACAGAACAGCTTGAACATCTCTAAACTCTTCCTTTATTCAACAATCTATAATCGACTAACCGGTCATGTAGTAAATAGCCAGGAAGTAAAATCTCTTACCATATTTTATTTATTTGAACACATAAATTTTGGTGCAAAGAAGCACCAAATACATATGCACTACACAATAACAATGGGAGTAGGAAGAGATAAAGAATGTAAGGTGCGTGTAATAAGAAAAGAAGAACAATAACGATCACGAATTAGTGTATGGTAGTGAAATAATAATAATAATAATAATAATAATAATAATAATAATAATAATAATAATAATAATAATGGGGGAAACAGAAAGGTACACTGTTATGACTTTAAACTTGGATCGCTTTTTACCCCGTCCCAATTGTTGTGTCCTTGACTGCAGATTAGAGTGAAGTGCTTTACCGATTGATTCAGTGACACGTAAACCACGTACGGACGGCCTAGCGTCTCGATTGGTCCCGCTTCCCTGTCTAGCCCAGCCAGTTGAGTCCAGAACGCAAGTGTTAACCTCTGATATATGAATCGTTATATTTCAAACACACTCTGCTTATATATCAATCAAGCATATCACATCGTACCATAAAATAGAAAACAACATTTTGTACAATATTTAACAAGTGAACAAATATCGACCAATAGGAAATGTCCATTTAAAGTCCAAGGACACCATTGGACTTAACATGATAATTATTGGTGTATTCCTCTGCATCCCTAACATACACCCAGAAAGAATTCTTTCAGTTAAAGAAGTTACGGTCACTTTTTATGAAGAAAGTAAAAGAAGGTTACAGTAGGATCGCCACTGGTTTCTATTCTGAGCCATATCTGATAACGTCTCTAGCCACTGTGTTGCACCATCTCTCGGACCCCATCCAGGGAGTCGTGAAGGACCAACACAAGCCAGTCCTTTGCAGATTTCTTTCATACCACGACACCATGTCATGCACTGACCACCTCTCCGCTTCTTCCAACCAGTCCCAGAGTCGGCAAATAATGCACGACGTGGAATGCTCTGAGACGACATTCGTAGAACATGTCCAAGCCACCGAAGTCGGTGTTTCAAGATGGTGACACTAATTGAATTATCATCTCTGTGCCCGAACACACGATGCCGAACCTCTGCATTACTGACATGATGTTGCCACTGGATGTCAGCAATCCTTCGGAGACAGCGATGATCGAACATAGAGAGTCGTCTAACGTCCTCAACTCGGAGAGGCCAGGTTTCACAAGCATAGAGCAGAACTGCTCTCACTGACGCGTTGTAGATCCGACCTTTTACAGCCAGACTAACATCACGAAGGCGCCAAAGATGGCCCAGATTGGCATAAGCCGCTCTGGCTTTCACTATTCGTGCATTGATCTCATCACTCATGTCACCACCAGCACTTATGCAGCTACCTAGATACACGAACTTCTCGACTATTTCTATCTGCTCACCATCCAGGGTGAGTACAGGATTGGAATCCTGCCAGTCTTGTAGGAGTACTTTGCACTATGAAGGTGCGAAGCACATACCATACCTACGGACACTGATTGCCAACTGATTAAGTGCGGATTGCATGCCTTGGGCATTATCGCACAGTAAAACAATATCGTCCGCATACTCATGGTCGAGAAGTCTTTCTCCAGGCAACAGATCCACACCACCATTACTTACATTCATCAGAGCTGTTTCCAGAATGTCATCGATGGTAAAGTTGAAGAGGAATAGTGAGATTGTGCAACCCTGCCTAACCTCACTGCTCGAATGGAACAATGGAGAGAGGTGGTTGTATACCCTCACTCTGCCTGAGGTGTTTGTGCATAGGGCTTTTAGGATGTTAATAAACTTCTCAGGCACACCCTTCTTCAATAGACAATCCCAGAGAACAGTTCTGTCCAACGAATCGAAGGCAGCCCTAATGTCAAGAAACACTACGATTGTTGGCCTTTGACAAGTATGGCGATGTTCTAACATTTGGCGGAGGGTGAAGATATGATCAATACGTCCTCGACCAGAACGAAACCCAGCCTGCTCCTCGCGAGTCAATCTTTCTCGAGTTTTGAACAACCTACGAAGTATGATGGAAGCCAATAGCTTGGACGCAATTGAAAGTAGACTTATCCCCCGATAGTTGTTGCAGGAACGACGTGAACCCTTTTTAAAGATAGGGACAACTATCGACTCATTCCATGACGTTGATGCACTCTCTAGTTCCCAAACCTTTGTAAACAACGTCGTCAATTCCTTAGTCAAAAAGTCACCACCATCTTTAAAAAGATCCGGAGGTAAGTCATCTGGGCCAGGTGATTTGTAACGCTTCAAGAGTTGGAGTTCCTTGCGGACTTCCTCCTCGTTTGGTGGATCAGTCGTCACAGGCCATGGAGGGCAGGACAGTCTGACCGATGTTGCTGGAGCAGCAGGCCAGTTGAACTGCCCTTCGAAAAATTCTGCCCACCGTCTAAGACGTCGATGGATGTTAGTGATTGGCATCCCATCATCCTCGCAGATTATTTCATTCACACCAGACTTCTTGCTGCCAGTGGCTCGGATGAGCTGGAAGAGCATTCGTTAGTTACCAGATGCAGCTGCTGCTTCCAGCTCATTAGCAGGCTTCGACCACCAGGATTCTCGTTCCTTGCGCAAGCTTTGCCCGATTTCCTTACGTAACATCCTTCGTTTATGGTCAAACTCACGGTCACCCGGAATAGACCGACGGGCTTCGAAGAGTTGTAAGGAACCAGAAGAAACCCAGTGCTTAAAAGCGGGACGTTTCGCAAACCCACAACTGACTGTTCCCGCCATTTTCATGGCGTCATGCAATTGCAACCAATGCTCATCTATACTTTTCGGTGGAGTGGTAGCTAGCCTAGAGGCTAGCTCGGTTCGATACTTATTTGCAACAGAAGTTGCAACCAGCTTGCTAATATCAATCGTTTGCTGGCGGTCCCTTCGTTGTCCACTGAAAAGTAAGGTAAGATTGGCGCAGACCAAGGCATGGTCAGAATCCAGATAGGTACTCCAAAAGGAGCGGCAGTCTTTTACACAACCACGCCAGCGGTAGCTGATCGCGATGTGATCAATCTGAGTCCAGGCTTGGGATGCAGAAGGAAGACGCCAGGTGGCACGTCGGCGATGATTGTGCCGAAAGTTAGTGCTAGCCAGAAACAGGTTGTGGTCTGTGCACAGTTGCAGTAGACGGTCCCCGTTATCTGTCATGCGACCAACGAGTCCCCATCGGCCACCTAAACGACTCTCTTCTGTGCCTAGACGCCCGATCTGAGCATTCAAGTCTCCGGCTAGTACTACAATATCTGTCGAACGCACTTTCTGGAGAAGAACTGATAACTGGTGGTAAAACTCATCCTTGATTGCATCCGGGCTGCAATCTGTCGGGGCATAGGCGGAGATGACGAAAAGACATCGTTTCTCACACCGATTTCTTCTCACTTTGATGGAACTTTCTAATCTAACAGCACATAACCGACTGTTAATGGGGATCCAATCGACTAGTGCTGCCTCAGCTCTAGCGCTTAGTGCGACACCAACGCCAGCAAGACCAGACGAAGATGCCACAGGGTCCCTGGATAAGCGCACGTAAAACAGGCTTTTTGAAGTGACAGATGTAGAGCGAATTTGTAGTACTTCGCCAGAGTCTTGAATACGGGTCTCGGATAGACAACACACGTCGATATTAAGACTTTCCAAAGACATAGCCAGCCCTATCTGTTGACCAACCTGCATAAGTGTGCGAACGTTGAAGGCAGCCAGTTTGAATGGTGCACGTGGTTTCAGAAAAACTGCTTCAGTACTCATATTCGGTGGTGACATACAATTTTCAACCGGACAGTGACTCGAGAACGTTTAGATAGAACCGAGTTTCCACCATAGACGAGCTGCTGTATAAGTCGAAAAATATGGATACACAAAGTGGGAATAAGAGAGAAAATAAAAATAGATGTGAATTGTCTGAATACTAAATGAAGTGAGAATTGTATTTTCAGTAATTATCATCATTTCATTTTGTTTGTGCGTGGGTTGTGATACTGCCCAGATGCCCAGACCGAAGCAGGTTATTTTCTTAGAGAGCCACAACCTGACCCTTCGACCTGAAGGTCTAATCCACAAAGCTGTGGAGCGACGTCAGGAAATGCAGTCCCATAGTAGCCGGTAACCAACGGTTTGTTCATACGCCATTTGTTTCTTCAGGATACTGGAGCCCGTGTGTACCGTTTGTTTGGAATCAGGCTTTTCCAACTCTCGGAGGTGGACTCTCCGTGTCCACCAAGCCGGTTGAAGCGCCG